TTCCCCATAAGTTTCATCTTTCCTGGCTCAGTGGTTCTTGAGAAGAAGATTTTTAAAACATACCATCAAATTTTCATTAATTCCCAATTATCTCCCCTTGAATGAGGGCCTGGCCCCTCATTTGAACAAACTTGAATCCCCTTCACCCAAGGATGCTTTGTGGCAAGTTTGGTTGAAATCGGCCCAGCGGTTCTTGAGAAGAAGTCGAAAATGTGAAAAGTTTACAACGACGACAACGACAACAACGACGACGACGACAGACAACGGACAAATTGTGATCAGAAAAGCTCACTTGAGCCTTTGGCTCAGGTGAGCTAAAAATCAACGTTGGGAATACCTAGTTTACTTCCGAGAGAATTCCTCTTTTAACTCTTTGACAGGTCTTAGGAACATGGCATCTGACCTGTAATTTGTTTATTCTTAGTATTGAAAACTGAAGGTAAGCTATTAGATAAGTATTACTCAGCTTACTTCTCATTGACTGGTTACTGGTACAAAGGTGCCATACGACTATTATATACGGCAGTATGAGATTGTAGTGGTACAATCAAGAGTGGGTACATATTTGAAGCAGTTATTGTACTCCTAGTCTTTGTAGGAGTTCCTTACCTAATTTTGGTTTGCAAAATTATTTAAAGACGCTGGAGAATTTGAGAAAAATGTGCTTGAAACAACACTTAGTTGAAACCCTACAGCTTCAAATGGCGAGCGGGAATTGATAACCCTATAGACCCTAACTCTGCCTTAATAATTGTGTTTTCATGCATACTTCAAGGGAAAGGGGCAATAAGAAAAATTTAAAGATGTGCGTATTTGGTGTTTGATATGCAGGAATCATCTGTACTGAACAGTCGCCCGCGTGGCGCTCTGTTCTAAAGTCGAGAAGTATGGAGTTGAGCTTTACATCGCGGGATCGAAACCCAATGTGGAGACCGGTCCTTCAGATGAGACCGTTTATGCCGAGATCCCGTGTCGCAGTAGGTGCTGGCACGAAAAAGATCCCTCATTGTTCAATGGCCCTGAATGCCGAGCATAAGACAAAATTTGCAGCTCTCCATTGGCAGGTGGCGGTATCTCCATATGTGTGAAAAATTCTCGAGAGGGACTTAAACAACATACAATTAATAAATCTGTACTGAATATTTATTGTTTAAATATTCAAGATTTGGTCCACTTACCAAGACTGGACACACTTTACAGAGTAATGAGCATAGGAAAGGTCTACTTATCTTTAATACTACTGCGACATGTGTAAACGCTTCCCAAAAAATAAGTAACACTTTACAGGGGATTCTCACTCCTTCATCGCACCTGATCCCGCCTCTGATGTTTCGGAGGTCCGCGTTTGCTATGCTACTATTTTGTATTGTTTTAAGGACTTTGATATTGAATACTGTTCGTTGTCTCCATATCCTTCTTATATCAGACAACAGGGGATAGTTAAATTCAATTCCAAATACATGTGCATATTAAAATCAATAGGATGGAAAAATTGTTTTCGTTCTCAGTAGAATGGAACCAAAAATATATATCAGTACATAAAATTCAACTGATAAAGGAATGGAAGTATTTTTATCTAAAAAAAAAAAATCTCAACGCTCCGTCGAACCAAACAAATTTCTTTTCCATTGCACTGGTCGGGTAGTTTGTATCTTCTGAGCCATCATCGCTACACACACAATCGAGAATGTGGATAAAAGCACTGCATTTACACATTGAAATTTTTGGGAAGGTTCATTTTTGTAGTCCATGTGTCTTTCCTTTATATTTTAAACCAATTTTGTTTCTTGGAATTTAAATACACACAAATAACGATTCAAATTCATGGGAAGATGACCCACAGATAGAAAATGTTTAGAAAGACGTGGTTTGTAACATTTGGTACCAAATTTCTCATCTAGCCACTTTTCAAGTTATCATTTAACAAATCAAAACAAAGCATCGAGAAAATATTCCTCTTTCCTATTCCACAGGAACCCGATTCATCATTAGAATAAAATTCCATGTGACAGAAATATGAAATTTTCACTTTTCAAGTGCGCCCAGATTAGTCGCCCGCGTTGCGCAGTGGTTAGAGCGTCTGCTCTAGAGTCGCGTAGTAAGGAGTCAATCCTTAATTCGCGAGTTCGAATCCCACTGTGGGACGTAGAGACCGGTCCTTCGGATGAGACCGTATAAACCGAGGTCCCGTGTCTCAGAAGATGCTGGCACGAAAAAGAACCCTCACTGCTCAATGGCCCTGAGTGCCGAATATAGGTCAAAATTTGTAGCTCTCCATCGGCAAGTGGTGGTGTCTCAATATGAATGAAAAATGCTCGAGAGGGACGTTAAACAATATACAATCAATCAATCAGATTCCTGTCGAATACCAATCAAAAGCGCCCTTGTTCTTTCTGGAAAAATGGACATGTAAAAGAATAGAGTTTCTATCAGTATATTTCCCCTTCAAGTATTTGTCTTATTAAGTAATTAACTGTTGCATTGATTTTTTAAGAATTAATTATTAATTGTCAAAAATTACTGCGCCTGAGTACTCTCAGTCCTTTGATGAATTTCTAACTTCCTTCTTGTACTTTGACTGGATGCTATATGCATCCGACTTAATAGTACATTGATTTGTCAGCATGGTATAGCTTCTGCACTACATATTACAAAAAGTGGATCCATGATATAATGGTTAGACAACATAATATATAAAGTGGACTTAATGAGATAAAGACTAACCTACATAATATATATTAATATAAAGATATAAAATGGACTTAATGGTATGAAGAATAGTCTACATAACGTATTAAGTGGCCTTAATGATATATAAATCGACAACATAACATATAAAGCAGACTTAATGATATGAAGAATTGATGACGTACCGGTATTATACAAAATGGACTTAATGACATGAAGAATTGATGACATATTATATAAAGTGGACTTAATGACATGAAGAATTGACGACATATTATATAAAGTGCACTTAATGATATGAAGATTTAACGACATACTATATAAAGTGAACTTAATGATATGAAGATTTAACGACATACTATATAAAGTGGACTTAATGATATGAAGAATTGACGACATGTTATATAAAGTGCATTTAATGATATACAGAATTGTCGACATGTTATATAAAGTAGACTTAATGATATAAAGGTTAGACTTAATGTTATATCGAACTGACACCATGATGCATATTGTGTACCCTTAAGACAGTTGTGGCGTTCCATATTTTTCTCTAGGAATAGGTGGCCTTGAGTATCTCCCCATTTCAATATGTAGAGTATGAGCACTAATTCTTAGTTTTGTTAGGTTTGTTCTTTCAGATTTCTCCAATGGTAATTCTAGTTAGTTTTGTAATTTATATTCATTTAAATCAATTATATTACTTAGAAAGGCATTATAACGCCTTTTAGAAAGGCGTTATAACGCCTTTTGGAATGGAAAGGCGTAAAACGCCTTTTCAAAAGGCGTTATAACGCCTTTTTGCGTTATTACGCCTTTTCAAAAGCGTAAAAATTTTTAGCAGGAATAAATTGTCGTACGTATACGATGAAAAACTACACACTAATGTCCAACATAAAACACTAAAATCTTTCGAAGTTTTGTAGAGCTCTGTTGAATATCAACTTAATTAAAGCACGTGACAACCGGCGAGGATCACCTATGTCAATAGTATTCGTGATTTAGACATAAATCTAAGTGTGCACTTAAAAAGATTATTTATCTAAATATTTCATATAGGAATGAAATTTATAAAAAGCTATAAGTTGCCACAGCACCTTAAAACATACTTTTGGTAAGGAAGAGGGGGGGGGGGGGGGGGGGGGGGGGGGGGGGGGGGGGGGGGGGGGGGGGGGGGGCTTACTGAAAATTTTGAGCAGACGGGAATGTTTACATGTGCACATTTTCACAAGCAGATCAGCCATCGGCATAATTGAAAGAGGTATGAATCCTCGACACCCTTCTGATGTATTGTCATTTGAATTATGTAGAATATATTAATTTGAATAGTGGCAATAAATTAACTTTACTCATGTCAGACAAATAAAGATGTGCAAATGTAAGTGCAAGTCTGTAGTCAACAACTCATTTTATAAAGGTCTCTTGTGTGTAAAGAACATAACTTCTTTAAATGTACTCCCCCCACCCCCCATATCACTTTCAAGTCTCGATGTACCAGTATATTGTATGTACATGCTTGCCAGCCATATTGAATGTGCACAAACTTCGTCCCTTAGTACCCTTTATACGCAACACTATTTGCACTATACTATTGTCGTTCACTGATTTTTATTTGAAAATTAAAAAAAGTACACGACTATTTATTTTGATTTTCAAATAAAAATCCGTAAACGACTCTATTGTGAGCTGCTTTTATTATTTCATTGTAAATAATTAATATCACCATGTTGGTTTGTATTAACCAAGGTTTACACAACTGTGAGATGTTAATTACTTCACATTTACAGGGGTATCATATACCATTGCACATCTTCCATATGCTAGTATATTACTCCATCAATTTGGGGAAAATATGAAAAATTGAAAAATTTGAAAATCTCTACATGCACTGTGCTAGATATGATCATTGACTGAAAACCATGACACACCTCTGGACCATGGCAGATGTACACGGATACGTATGTTATCAGAAATCAAAGTAAGAGGATATTGGAAGATTTTATCTGTTTTTACGTCAATGAAAATACGGCTGGTGCGTTCATACCTTACAGTGCCTCATATGTTTCTTCAATTCGCAGACAGATCCATATAAGAAATTTTAAATAAGTAGTTTACGTTCTCCATGGGCTAATAGTAAAAAATATTTTCGATGTGATTTAGGCTGTTTAAAATTAAAACTACGTTTAACGTCACCCGCGCGCGTAGGTTTATGAGAAATTCGTCTTTGAAAAAAACAAACAATTCGGAATTCCGTATGTCTGTTCCGGTTTGGTTCTACAATTAGCGACGATATTCTGCTTCCCGTAGTGACAGAAAATGTGCTTTGATAAAGGCAGTTGGTGTCTTATTAAAGAAAACTAGTGAATTAAAGAGTTTTGGACCATGAATGTAAGTAAAAAATATATGGTTTTATGATTGAAGTTAATGACAAAGTCTAGTTTGTTGATTTTTTTTGTCAGTCTTCGAATCACATGTTCAAACTGACAGTGACAGACTCTCGGTTCGTGATTTTATTAGCTGAACTTTTCATTGTATTTTGGAAAGAATCGAAAAACTTTTTTACTGAGTGGAAAGTGTGTCAAAAACCAAGATTTATATACAGTGAAAAGCATCATTCAAATCTTATTTAATATGTTTCATATTAAAAATATTTCTGTAAAAATCGAAAGGAACAGTAATGAGTGAAGTAATTGATTTCTTCACAATTCATGTACCTACAAATAGCTACATTTTTTGGAAAAGATAAAACTTGTCATAACCATTTGAGCAGGGAGAAGCTTACTGAAAATAAGGCCTTTCAAGTGAAGGAGAGTAAGGAAAGAAGTTGGGGTATTCCAAGACGTGAAGAATCCTGTCTTTTGTGTGGAATTCAAGGTATTAAAGATAATCTAACAGCTATCAACATGGTCCAGATATTAGTATTCACACTTTCAAAACTTAATGCTAGTAGATCTAGTACTAAGAAAAAATATGACATAATTCAATTTGAGATATTTCAACATGAACCATTTTAAATTTTGTCATCAATAATTTTAATTGTAGATATTGATCAACTATTCCCACAAGAAGAAGCATTTGCCTCCAGGGTACCATGGACGTGTGGCAATATAAATCCAAAGGACAACTGAGGCCTAGTTAAAAAAAGCCACATACCTGCACATTCAGTCTTAGACTACATTGTTTGCTAACAATAGGACTCAAACTGATTTACATACTAAGGAAAAACTCTGCTAGGGAAATTAATCTTAGGTGTCATATCAATTAAATGCTCTTATAACTTAATTGTAATGCTTTTAATGTAATGAATAGGTTAATTTGAATAAATTCACAATTGTTTGAAAATTTTGTTTGTTTATTTTTTTCCTCCCTCCCTCGTAGGTTTTGAACTTTAGATGTGACGTTAAACGTAGAATTAATTTTAAACAGCCTTACATTGATTTTTAAAAGCATTTAAAAAGCATTGATACAAGGGAAACCCGACTCTGATAAAGAACAATGGAGAAAGTTAGCTCTGATAATAAATAAATAAATAATAAATTAGAGGTATTGTGAGCAATAATCTCACTTTTATGATAACAACCCCGCCTCCCATATATATGTTTATAATGGCAAAGAACATGTTTCGCACTGGGAGACCCGAAATAAGTGTCAAATCAAAAAAGTAAAATATGAGGTCACAATGGCATTATGTAATACAGAATCTGTGAAAGTATCATAAAGTTTTATTCAGTGGAATATAGAAGGAGTTGCAGATAAGAGATGGGTACCCTTCAATATTATAGAAAAAATGGTCCTTCCCATATTTTGCTCTGGGAAACCCAAAATATGTCCCATCGAAAAGTAAAATAGCAGGTGCCCAATGACACTACATATATATATCAATGAATCTGTGAAAGTCTCATTCAATTTCATTCAGTGGTAAAAGAGAAGTGGCGAATAAGAGATGGGTACCCCAAAGCGTGTAAGAGAAAACCCCCTCCCATTTTAAGCGGGGGTATAATAAAATGAATCTTTGTTTGTTTGACTTTCATACAAGAGTTACCACTCTTTTAACATTGAAAAAGACCTGAAAATTATCCAATACCTAGTTACAACAAGGCATAATTAAAAATATTCAGAAACTGTTCTGAGGTCATTGAGAAAATATAGAAGGAAGTGGTCTATTAATGAAAATTTGCTTAAACTTAATTCATATGCACACAATTTCTAGTCGGTAGTTGTTTACGCTAATTTTCTTTGCTCACACTTTGTATGCCTTTGCCTTGTAAAGTATATATATATATATATATATATATATATATATATATATATATATATATATATCCAAAATGTGTATATAATAAATCATATAATAGTCACAGTGTCCGGCAATAAATATTTAAAAAAGAAAAGAAGAAGACGAAAGAAAGAAAGAAGAAAAGTAAAACGTCTGAAGAATTTGAAATGAAAGCGCTAACGTTTTACATCTTGTGTTGTCGTTTTTTCTTTTTTTAAATATATAGTACATATATACAGGTTTTATAAAAGTTTTCACAGAGGAAGTTCTAGATCAATCAACACCAGACCTTGCAACACCAGTGGCACAAGTCAAAGAAGATTTACATATCAGCGAATTTAATCCTGAGTATTAACATAGCTAAAGGCTACTGGTCCATGCAGACCAAATAAGGCCAGTGGTCCAGACCAAATAAGGCTAATACTTCAGACCAATTTAGGCTATTGCTACAAACAAAATAATTAAGGCTTATTGTCCTGACCAATAAGGCTAATGCTCAAGACCAAAATAAGACTAGTTGTCCAGACCAAATAGAACTAGTGGCCCGGACCAAAAAAATCTAGCGGTTCAGGATAAATAAGGCTAATGCTCCAGACCAAATAAGACTAGTGGTTAAAACCAGATAAGGCTAGTGATTCATAAAAATAAGACCAGTAGTCAGACCAAGTAAGGCTAGCGTTCCAGACCAAATACGGTACATGGTACTCACTAAATAAGAACAGTACGACATTTTACTCTGGACACGACATAGTCCAGACTTTTTACTAATTGTGATATCCAAAATATTTTTATATCACTTGGTGAGATTTCTTAGCAGTATGCCAGGGACTCATGTTGAACTCACAAACATCTCCCCTTCTATAGATATGAAGTCCTAAAAGTAAGAATCCCATGGGAGAATGGTGGAATTTTCAGTCCCACCAACTATCCCACCATTCTCCCATGGGAGAAAAAATGTCAGATGGGATACTTTCTCCTGTGGGATTTTTCTCCTACATATTTGTTCAAATGGGATAAATCCCACGGATATTGACAATGGTTTTTTTTCACCTATACATCGTTGCTATAGGAATATATTCTATATATTACGTGATGAAAGATTTGTCATTGTCATAATTTATGGGATATATTCCATGTCTCATAATGTATGGGATATATTATTTGATTTCCAATATCCGTGGGATTTATAGCATTTGAACAAATTTGTGGGAGAAAAAATCCCACATGAGAAAATATCCCATCTGACATTTTTTTCTCCCATGGGAGAATGGTGGGATAGTTGGTGGGACTGAAAATCCCACCATTCTCCCATGGGATTCTAATATTTAGGACTTCATATCTTTTGAAGTGGGAATGTTTGTGCGTTCAACAGGAGTCCCTGGAATACTGCTAAGAAATCCCACCAAGTGATATAATAATATTTTGGATATCATAATTAGAAATGGTAGTAAACATGTCTGGACTATGTCGTGTCCAGAGTTAAATGTCGTACTGTTTAAGGCTTATGGTCCAAACCTAATGAGGTTAGTGGTCCATACCAAATGAGACCAGCGGCCCAGACCAAATTTTGCTGCATACCAAATAAGGCTAGTGGTTCAGATTAAATAAAGCTAGTGTTTTAGACGAAATAACACTAGTGGTTCAGACCAAATAAGTCTAATGCTCCAGAAATAAGGCTATTGGTCCAGACTTAATAAGTCTGGTGGTCCTGACCAAATAAGGCTAATGGTTCAGACCAAATAAGGCTAATTTTCCAGACCAATTATGGCTATTGCTCCAGACTAAATAAGGCTAATAAGACTAAATAACCCTAACCCTAAGTTGTCCTGACCAAATAAGCCTAGTGGTTCAGACCAAATAAGCCTAGTGGTTCAGACCAAATAAGGCTAGTGGTTTAGACCAAATAAGGCTATTTTTTCTTGACCACATAAGGCTAGTGATTTAGACCAAATAAGGCTATTTTTTCTTGACCACATAAGGCTAGTGGTTTAGACCAAATAAGGCTAATGCTCCAGACCAAGTAAGACTAGCTGTTCAGACCAAAGAAGGCTTGTGGTCCAGACCAAATAAGGTTAATGGTTCTGACCATATAAGGCTCATGCTTTAGACAAATTACTAAGTATCCTGTCGGAGATGCAAAGGATACTTGGCATTTACTTAGTATATTAGAAAACTCTCTATACAATGTGAATGTGCCTCATTGTTGGAAGATCATAGATATGTTTAACAAGAAAGACAGAAGTAATCGTCCTGTTTTTAACACCAGTTCCCTGCAAAATACTAGTAATAGAAAACAATTTAAGCACATTATGAAACACCCAGAAAACATCATACACTAGTGGAATTTCAGCATAGATTCAGACAGAAAAGATCATTTGAATCACAACTGATTCAATCTAATTAAAATTAGATGTTAGATCCGCTCGCATACTTACTACACTAAGCGAGTATGCGAGCGGATCTAAAATCTAATATTAATTAGATTGCAACTGATTATAAAGTAGAAGAAACCTCTCACAACCTACATCAAAAACAGCAGGTATACCTCCTGATACATGTACTAGATTTTAGCCAGGCTCATGATACAGTGCCTCACAAAAGACTTCCTCTAGTTTAAGCTGGATAGTCATGGCATCAGTGGTAAAATCAACCGTTGATTAGAGTCATGGATTGTAAAAAGGCAATACAGGGTACTCGTAGAGGGTGAAGAATTTTCATCAGACCATGTGAATTCTGGAGTCCCTCAGGGAACAGTTCTGGCCCCCTGATTGTTTTTATACATATTACACCATCTTTCCAACTGATGACAGCGTATTACCTATTGCAGCATCTTCCAAGAATGATTGTGAAAAATTACAGAAAGACTTATCTTCTCTCATACAGTGGTTAGAAAAATGGCAAATGGTCTTTAATGCTATCAAATGCTAATTCTTCTTATCCACAAAAAAGAAAGATCATAGATTGAATGGACATGTTGAGGATAAAGTAGACCATAACCAACAACTTGGAGTAGAGTTGACATCAACACTCTTATAGGACCATCACATAAACAATATAACCACCAAGATCATCATCACCATTAAGATCAGTTGGATTTATCAGGAGAAGTCTTAGTATATTCCCACAGGAAATAAAGCGTCAAGCATACTTGACACTAGTGAGACAATGCACATCATCTGGAATATGCAAGTTGTGTATGGGATCTAAACCTACAATAACATGTACAAGGATTGGAAGTGGTTCATAGAAAATCAGCCAGATTCATTGCAAGGGAATATTCAAGAGATACAGGAACAATACCATCACTTTTAGGGAAATTGAACTTTCAGTGAAGATGAAAAACAGCACATCTTATGTTTCACAAAATCGTACATCAAAAATTTCAAGTCCAGTCCTGATTACATACAAACTTCGACCGACTAGACGAACACTCCAAAGACGTTTCATCAGATTAGGCTCCACTGGTGAGCAATATAAGTACAGACTCTTCTTCAGAACCATCAGAGATTGGAATCACCCCACTTACTGGACATGAAAACTACGAGTCATTTACGACAAGACTCACAAATAATTTCCAAGTCAAAACTGTTTTAATCATATTAATAGATTATTTTAAAGTGTACCACTTGTTTGACGTCGTAGCACAACTTGTGTGATGGGTCGGAAACCAGTCTTACAAGTATCAACGTAGAAGTAGAAGATTTACATTTGTAAAATATTAATATGGCGGGTCTAAATAGACAGTAGAACCAATTAATGAGCACATAGTTTAAGCAAACTACAGTCGCATCTCCTCCTCCCTTTCCGGCAAAGCTCGGAAAACATCCGAAATTGCTTTCCAACTTGCTGAAAGATCCAGGTAGGTAGTTAAGAAAAGCTGCTTGGTATTTTTAATAATATTTATGACCCAAGACGAAAATATTGCTATATTTCTTCCTCCTTATTGTGAACATGCGGCCAGAAAAGTTAAAAAATATCATGGTCTTCAGT